TATAATAATAGTTTTCAATTGTTTGTGGATTCTTCGTCTCTAATAAAAATTACTTGCATTTGTCTGTGAATTCTTTTTTATAATAATTTGTTTTCAATTTTCTGTGGTTCTTTCATCCATAATAGTAACTGCTTGCTTTTCTCTGAATTATTTTTATAATAATTGTTTTTATTTGTCTGTGATTCATTCGTCTATAATAATAATTGCATTTCTTTGTAGGGCCTTCGTCTATTATAATAACTATTTTAATTTCTTTGTACGTTCTTTCTGTTCGTTTGTAGATTTTTATTTTATCATAATAATCGTTCCTTATGTCCGTGTCTTTCGTCTATGATAATAATAATAATAGGTGAAGAAATACAAGTAAAGCATAATACGAAATACTTTAAAAAAAGCAGCTACAAAATACTTAAAAAAGAATGCAAAAGCAAATGCAACCGACCAGATACAGAAACGATGGCAAGATAAACTGCTTCACGATCAATACTTTGTCCGTACCAAATAAGCTGATGTATACAAACACCGTACCTATCAGTGGCTACGCAGTGCGAGGTTAAAAGCTGTAACCAAACGTTTTATTCTTGCTGAACAGGACCAATGCTTGTTAACTAGATATTATCAAGCAGACATACTGAAAAATGGTGCAAGCCCAAAATGCAGATTCTGTGATAAATATCCGGAAACAATTGACCATCTTGTATCAGGTTGAACTGTATTGGCACCCACTGAATATAAAACACGGCATGACAAATTGGTTTAATATATGCACTGGAATATCTGCAACTTCTACGGAAAGGAAACTGAAAGAAACTGGTATGAACACCACCCAGGCCCAATTACGGAAATAGGACCTGTAACAATTTTATGAGACTTCACAATACACACAGACAGAAGAATCAAAGCTAATCGCTCAGGCATCGTTATTAGAGACCGCGAACAAAAAAGTGACTCCTTATTGATATGGCAGTCCCTGCAGATTGCAATGTATTTTTGAAGATCTTTAAAATCTATGAAAATACAAGGACCTTGAAATCGAAATCTCAAAAATGCGGCAGATGAGAACATCAACAATTCCTCTTGTAGTTGGAGTCCTCGGATTGATAAAAAAAAGATTCCAATAAACTCATTGAAGGGATTCCTGGAAGCCCATGCTTTAAAGAAATACAAAAAATGTTCTCACGGGTACAGCCCACACCTTACGAAGGGCTTTATCCATGTAAAATATGTGTCTGTGTTTATTTTTGTTTTGTTTTTTGGGGGGTTTTTTTTTGGTTTTTTTAATTGCCCAGTGGAAAATGCCATGATGCCATTTCTGACCTTATGTCTCTGGTTGGGACCCGGAAAGAAATGAGTACACACCAGAAATCAAAGGAATAATAATAATAATAATTATAATAATAATAATAATAATAATAATAATAATTGTCTGGGGTTTCTTTATAATATTAACGTCTTCATTTATCCGTGGATCCTTCGCTTATTATAATAATATTCTTTTACTTTTTTCAGTATCCCAGTAGACCGCAACAACACTTTGCTTTAAAGGGTTTCAATTTTCCCCAGAATTTGCGGCTGGTTCAGTCTTGATTCTGGTGTTCTGGGGCACCGCTCCAAACGTGCCAACAATTATAGGCTCGACCCTAAACTTTATGTTCCACACTTTTCGAAGCTCCAAGGCAATGTTCTGATATTTTTCAGTTTTTCGCTCTTTTTTTTATCTTTAAAGATGAATTTTCATATTTCCAGATTGGCATTGATGAGGTCTGCTAGAAAAGTGTTGAACATTTGATGAGATTTAGTAACTCGGTCTCCAGATATCTGGTGTGAATATGCAAATCCCCAAGCATTTGATTTGAAGACGTCCACACATGCAATACGTATCCAAATATATACTTTTATTATGTCACACTTTTCTACGTCACTAGAAAAATCCACAACATAAAAATGAGTGAAATACCTATCCTTATGTAATGAAATCTTCTTGTGACAATCTTAGTTGTGGGTCCTTCTAGAATAGTAGAATTAATGTTATATTAAGCTGGGTAAATAAATTATATTAAGCTTGGTAAATAAAATTCCATCATTGTTAAGTGGTCGAATCGGTCTGATGTTTTACAAACTTGTCTCGATAGATCAATTATGACTGAGTAATGAGTTCGATCTTCACTAAGGGCTCCATATTTTCGGCCTTGTGTTACATCTAAGCTACTTAGTAAATCGCTATTCAGTGGTGAATCGAATATTGTTTAGTTTAAAATTCCATAAGTATTGAACCTAAACTAAAATGCGGAGCAGCATAAAGTATTTCGTATTTTCTAACTACATTGTTCGAGTAAAATAATAAGTAGCGGTAGTAGCTTCATCTTGATATTTTCTTGAGTCAAACATTTTTATTTGGTTGCTTGTCACGACTAATAACACCAAATCTTATTAGTGTTTCACTAGAAATCCCAATAACTTCCTTGTTTTATATAGCTGAATTTTGTATAAAATGTATGATACTATCTTCAGTCACGATCAATGATTGTCCCCTCAGGGAAGCCCCATTCTTTGAGCAACTATTCGGCCTTAAACTCAACCCAGACCTCAAGTGGAAGTCGTATGTACAATCCATCGTTAAAGATGCAGAAAAAATGGTCGGTTTCCTGCACCGCTCCAGTAAGTACCTGACTCCACCTGTTATCCTCTACCTTTCCAAGAGTCAGATCAGGTCAAAAATGGAGTACTGCAGGAGCCGCCCAGTCTTCACATTTTCCAGTTTCGGTAGAGTCAAAAAGCGTCTTCGAAGACTTGTAGGTGATTAATTATTTTCCATCCTGCAACCCCTCTCTCATAGACGAAACGACGCAAGCCTCTGACTGTTCTTTTGTTTTTTCCAAGGAAAGTACCAAAACGAACTACATTCCTTAGTTTTACCAGTTCTAATCTTCATGGCTAAGACCTGCCATGCCACGCACATTTAGCCAACCACTCTTATTTCCTCCGTATTCCATTGATGAGAAATAAGTTCCACTGGAGCAGATTTTCACGAACCACTGCTCTTTGTCTTGCACCCCCATGACTAATGTAATGTGTTCGTGCCTCTATTGATGCCTCATACTTGATACTTTGTGCGGAAGTTTTTTTCTATGTGTCGCGTGCCTTCAGGACATGGTCGATCATGACTTTCCAATTCTTCCTATCTCTTTCGCTCTTTAGCAGTTTCTCACAACCTCGTTAGGTAGGTGGGTCGCTACCTTCCTCTATCTCTCTTGCCCGGAATATGCCTTGTAAAGTTTTCCATGCCCTTTTCTCATTATGTGTCCAAAGACCTGTCTCTTCCTGATTCTGAATATAAGTGTTTTTTCTGTTGCTATTTTCTTTAATTCTTTCTCGTTACTTACTCGCTCCATCCAGTGAATATTCAGTATCCTCCTGTAGAACTACATTTCTGCTGCATACAGTTTTCTCTTCATCTGTAAGGAGATTGTCCAGTAGTCACTGGCATATAAATGGATGAATATCACAGAGCAATTCAGCACTATTTTCTTTGTTTCTAATTAAATGTTCCTGTTTCTCAATACTTGCCTCGTTCAATGTGTGTTCAGATCTCGGTGTCACATTTTGCATCCGCTGTTAAAATACTTCTCAGGTATTTAAATCTCTGCATTATTTCTCTGCATTATGATTATATCTCCCATTCGTAATGCGCAACTTGGGCTTTTTCTCTTGCTGATGACCATACTTTATGAATTCTTGCAGTTGATAGTCCTTTTTCTCGCTTTCTTTTACTACCCTATCTAAGAGGTCCTGTAGTTTTTTCCGTGTCAGCCATCAACACAGTGTCATTACAAATCTTAAAGTGTTAAGATTATGTCCACCGATAATAAATACTGGTAGAGTCTCCAGCTCCCCTAGAATAGCCTCGTTGTAGAGGTTGAATAAATATAAAGAGAAGACACATCTTTGTCTTAAGCTCCTTTCTATTTGGGGGTAGTTATCCAATTCATTTTCTATCTGTATGCTGGATAGAAAATGTTTGCTCTCAGAATAATTTCAGAACACCGTTTCCAATAGATCTCATTTTCCTAGCAGTTCAAATAGATATTTGTGCCATACCTTGTTAAGTGAATATCAATATAAAATAGTCCCAACCAAAACCAACAGAAATAAAAGTAGATAGCTCTTAATAAGCCGAGATTGTGTTACTGATTATATAATACATCCTTGGTGACTATATGAACTAGTTCATAAATATAAATAAATAACTCCTGGTTAGAGGAAAAGAAGCCCTTTGGAGTCAGATATTTCACTGCCAGGCTTGCGACAGGCTTGCTGAATTCTCTGCCTTCGGACAGAGAGGAACCCAGACGAGGCTATGCCTGCGGGCAGATTCTCTTCTGGGGAGGTAGGCAAACCCGACCCCGTATATGCGGGGTCTAAGGGAAATTTTTGTCCGAGGCTACAGGCACCAAATCACCACACGTAAAAACCTGCCTTGTGCACCTTCCTGCCTTCTTGGGAGGTTTGATAAATACCAAAAGAAGACGATTGGAGTCAGTCTTCAGACTAAGTAATACAAGTGTCATGGCAAGTAGCCGAAGCATTACTTATATTGTCAACGCTACGAAGCGCGTTATGATAGGTAGATAGATAGATAGATAGATAGATACGATTAGACACTCATAAAGAGATAGATACGAAGATTGATACATAGACAGAAAAGATATTGAGATCGATACACAGATACGAAGAGAGAGAGATTGATACATAAATAGATACGAAGAGATAGAGGTTGATACATAGATAGGTACGAAGAGATAGAGATTGATACATAAATAAATACGAAGAGATAGAGATTGATACATAAATAGATACGAAGAGAGAGGGAGAGAACGAGAGATTGATACATAGATACGAAGAGATAGAGATTGATACAGAAATGGATAGATACGAAGATATAGATACATAGATAGATACGAATATATACGTACATAGATAAGAAGATATTGACACATAGATTAATACGAAGAGATTGAGGTCGATACACAGATACGAAGAGATAGAGAGAAATTGATACATAGATAGATACGAAGAGAGAGAGAGAGAGAGAGATTGATTGATATATATAGAAGAGAGAGAGAGAGAGATTGATACATAGATACGAAGAGATACAAAAATGGATAGATACGAAGATATAGATACATAGATAGATACGAATAGATTGAGGTCGATACACAGATACGAAGAGATAGAGATTGATACATAGATAGATACGAAGAGAGAGAGATTGATACATAGATAGATACGAAGAGAGAGAGATTGATACGTAGATAGATACGAAGAGAGAGAGAGAGATTGATACATAGATAGATACGAAGAGATAGAGATCGATAGATAGATACAAAGAGATACAGAAATGGATAAATACGAAGATACAGATACATAGATAGATACGAAGATATACGTACATAGATAAGAAGATATTGATAGATAGATAAATACGAAGAGATTGAGATCGATACATAGATACGAAGAGATAGATATTGGTGCATAAATAAATACGAAGAGATAGAATATGAAAGTACATAGATAGATATGAACCTATTCAGATAGGTACATAGATAGATACATAGATAGATATGAACATATTCAGTTACGTACATAGATAATTATGAACATATTCACATAGAAACATAAACGTGTACATATTTAAATAGGTCTACATTTAAATATGAACATACTGAGAGGGGTACATAGATAAATGTAAACTAAACAGATTGAGATTGATACATAGATATGAAAAAACTGCAATACTTACATACATACACTTTACATATTTCTTTCGAGTAAAAAAATGTTTGTTGCATTGAGCGTAACTAAACAAAGGAGAGGGAAAAAAATGAAGATTTTTTTTTCTTTTTACAAGTGGTTAAGGAGGAATTTTTAACGAAAACAAACATAATTTTATTATACAATTCCAAGTAAAGGGGTAAGACGCGCGGACACGGACACACATACACACAGCAAGAACAACAACAAACATCTTGAAAAACACGAATGCAACCGCGTGGGTTCATGGCATTTCTCATATTATTTTTCTTTATTTAATGTTTCTTTTTTTCTGTATTATCTTTTCTTTTTCTTATTTCCTTGTTTATCGCACTACTTTTTTTCTTACCCCAACCGATCCCGCTAATAATTTGTGCATATTTTTCTTATCTTTGTATCTGTGCGTATGTGTGTACCCATTTGTGTGCTTATGTATTCGCCCACTCTTCTGCGTGTGAGTGCGTGTATATATATGCTCACGCGTCTGTGCGTGTATGGATGTGCGTGTTTTGTTTTTTGCACGCGCATGTGTATGTGGGTGTTTTACTGTGCGCGCGTGTGTATATTTCTCTTGTTCTCAGCGCGTGCCCACCCTCTTTGGAAGACATCTCGCTTCTCATTCGACGATCGGCTAAAAGTGGGAAGGCCCTCATCGAACCAGGCGGAAGTCGATTGAGCGCTTCGCATTCTTTCCAGATGGCAACTACCATATAAGGAAAGCTGTCCTCTCAACTCCACCCCTTCATACCCCGCTACATTCTTTTCCTCGTCTCTCTAATATATATCGCGCCAGAACTTTGTCAAACATCACACATCTTCTAACGACTTGCTTGTAGAAGAAGGAAAAAGAATTCAAAGAAATCATTTACCTGACGTCTTTGTTAACAGAAAATTCGGAGACATCTCCCTTAAAAACCAGAAATACTTACCACTAACAACGACCACTTATCATACAGAAATTACTTGGGTTTACTTCCCTCAATTTTCACCATTTTAGAGATCTTCTAGCTGCGAAAAATCATGAAAATTGAAACGAATATAATACTTGTGCTTCTTGGACTAAGTCTGGTAAGCTATTTTTCTTTTAAGTGCATTTTTTAAAAGAAAAGATATCGTAGCTGCTTTCAGATTTTAAATGACCGCAGATAAAAGGCGGGGTAAGTCAACACGTGGTCTTCTTAGCTACTACGATGTGTTGTTTTGAAGCTGAAGCAGTAGTACTACAACACACCGCGATATCTTACCCTTACTCACAATTATATTCTGTTAAGTTATGCGGAGGTGCGCCGTATTTTCTCTAAGACAATGAATCAAACTATTCTTTTATAAATAGTTTTATTTATTTTTAGCCGATGATAAAATCTTATTTTTATTGGAATTATCATAACGTCTGCAAATTATAACATCAGTCTGCTCTTTAATCAGATTTAGACTACTAACCTCGACAGTTGCAAATATTAATACGCCTGGATGCACTTTTTCATTGAGTAGCTGTTTTCATTGATAAAAATGCTCTTTGATAGTAATTGTAAATGCCATGCGTCCACCGCTGATGTTTAAGCTCGCAAATAACTAAATAACGTCATTAATAGACTCGTCAAAACTTTCTACGACTATCTTTTAATTAGAAGGAAATTTTTTTCAAAACTATTTCAGCTACAAATGAAGATAGAATATTGGGGCACCAAGTGCAGACCAAACTCACTATGCTAGAAAACTGGTTTATAAACCCAATACCAAATCTATTATACTGTTATGTAAGGAGGTACCAAAAGAGGGTAGAACTCATTATACAAGCTTACGAAACGAGCTTATTAAAAAATATCTCTAGCTACGGTAAGACCAGTGACCAAGATTAAGACATCAGCATTCTACAATTTCTTTATTTGAATGCCAGTCACGGTTTCAACCTGTTGCAGTCGAGTGTAAAAAAATCTCCCGCGCTTTTTAAAAAAAAAAACTTACTTCTACGTTAGCTGTAGTTTACGTGTACGTCCATTTATTGTTTGTTAATATTCTATTAAGAAATGCACCCTGATTAGCTCCTGTTGAGATTAAAAGTGAGCGTAACATTTATTCCGTTACTGCCTGTTCAAATAATCATAGGAGAGTGTCTTGTCGAAGTGTTTACTCACCAACTCTTAACACCCATACATTGTTAAAACCTTGGAAAAAATTTCGAGCGATACGACAGAGTACAAAGAAAAATTCAACAGAACCTTCTCAAAGACAGTAAGACGTGAGTGCAGTCTCAACTGGAATTCGAACTAGAAACACCGATTCGAATTTTGGTGGCTATAACCATTACGCCACCATACACTACATGTCTAGTGTATAGCAATGAAAATATTTACACTGTTTTTTGTTAAATTCTTTATTTTATTTATTTTTTGTGTTTTAGTTACTTAACTATTTTTCCCTTTCAGGTTACGGCGTTTTCTGCAGAACCAGAAACTTACTGTAAGTTAATGTTATTATTATTATTATTATTACTATTATTATTGAGTGAGTGAACCAATAAAATGATACTGGGGTTATACGAAGCCCAGTGTATCTATCATAACACCCAGTCTGATAAGGCTTACGACCATTTTAAGTTGAAACCCTGGTCTCCGTACGATCGTTGAAGTTAAGCAATGTCGGGCCTGGTCCGTACCTGGATGATTGACCGCTTGGAAATACCAGGTTGCTGTAAGCTTGGATGTGCGGATGGTGTAATGATAATGGCACGGAATTGTTAATCAGGAATTCGAGTTCTAATTCCATTTAGGTTCATTATATTCCCTTGGGAAAGGTATAAATCTACCTCTTCCTCCTAGCTATGGGTTAATTAGTAATTTGTATCAGTAAATCATTATTATCTAAAAAAAAACTTTCTTACAATCTAAAAATATTTTCTGGGTTTTAAATAACATGCAAAGCATTGATAAGCCGTAGAAAACGAATCAATCAATAAAACCAGTTTGATAAGAGTATACCAGGAACATGCATCATAGCCAATTATATGCGATATGGTGCATATCCTTACAAGTGGGATCGAGTTAGAAATATTTTCAGGTCCGTCCAATAATCCAGTCCACTCATACATTTCCAAGTCAATTTTGGAAGGCTCTTCGAGAGTGCTCCAAATGAGTGCCGACAATGACGAGTACAATTATCACCCTCTTATCTTAGAATTTATTCATTTGCCTGACAAAGACCAGGTTATTTACTAATTTTTAATGAAATCTTTGAATGATCAGAGAGAAAATCTGCTTGCTTTCTGTGATTACATTACCATTTCAAAAGCTATTCAAACTTTTGAACTCGTTCATTTCTTTGCTTTTGTTATTACCCCAATGAAATTTATTCTACGACGTTTCTCTTGGTTACAAAGATACCTTTTGTAATTTTTTCATGAACCATAATCATTACAGTCGTTGTTCAGTGTACTGATATCATTCATTTAGTTTCTTGTTATTGCTCCTACAACTTTTGGTCAATTCATTCTACGGCCTTCTTCAAATGTACAATCCGTGGCTACTACCTACAAAAAATGACTCCCTCTCACATTCCGTACGAATTGTACAGCTGCAGAAAGTCGTAGAATGGACATCTTAACAGCACTTGCTTATTTGCTAAACATGGCTTAACCGAGCACAAGGCCACAAACGTGAGGAGCCCAGAGAAAATCGAAAGATCGAACTCATTCTACTAGTGAATTAGCCTGTTCGGTGAGCCTTTTAGCCATCGCACAACAAACCCAAGCATTTTCTTGAAATAAATCCTCGTTCTTTAACTTATTTTAGTTTGATCTCAATTTTGTAATCAAGTCTTTCAAATACTGCGGGTTTCAAACCCATTCATCAGTCCCTAAAATGTATTCACTATTTAACCAAAACTTACGCCTGTCGCTTGTCGTACAGGCTATGGCAAGTCAGCCGTTGTTCTGTTTACAGATTACGTTGCTTTCTTTAAAATGGGAGGCGCCAGCTAAGAGACCACGTGCTTTCACAGAATGTAAACATAAAAAGAGATATTCTTTCTTTGAATTGCATACTTTTCTTTGTTGCCAGAGAAAGACGGTTGTTAGCCAGTAATTGAGTTTAATAAATCACTGGTTCTACATTATGGTAACCTTGTATCAGATTGGGCTATGCTTAATGGATATCTACTTTTTTTTTTTTTTGCAAGACAACTAAGTCCGTATCTAGAGCAATCAAACAAGTAAAAAAAAAAAACACCAGTATAAACTTAATTCAAACTGATGAGCGGGACTTTATACCATGAATGCATATACCAATCCAGTTATTTCACGCTCTTGTAAAAACCCCCAATACTTATGATAATAATAACGGAATATAGATGAGATAAGTGAAGATTTAATTTTATTATTTACAATTAATGTCTCATCTCTTGATATTGAGCACTAGAATTACAAAACCTCTTACCTTATAAACGTTATTTTCCTGAAGTACCCAGGTCGACCTTTTTTCTTTTGAAAAGACAATCATTTTTAAAATATATATATACGATTGGATCGGTAAAATATATATATATATATAATATATATATATATATATATATATATATATATATATATATATATATATATATATATATATATATATATATATATATATATATATATATATATTATATTATATATATATATATATAATATATATATAATATATATATATACTTAGTTCCTCCTGGGGAAAAAAAAGGAAAATTGACGTAGACAGGTCTGACACAAGTTTATTGCAAAGGTTTGCTAAGTTTTCATCGACGGTTTATCAAATCCGATTTTCCAGTAGCACAAATAGGCTTTATCTGGAAGATTGGCGCATCACAGTCTGTCTGCTCTTTTTACGCACTTTTCATTTAACACGGTGTCAGCCTAAGCCAAGTTTGGTAAATATAAATGCTGAGGCGTCTACTGCAACGATGACTGAGAAGCTAGTAGTACAAGACAATTCTTTGGTATCGTAAATGCTGGACAATCGTTTCACAGATAAAAAAAAAAAACTTCAAGCGACAGAGATGTGGTTCTACCAACGAATGTTGAGAATATCACAGACATAACATGTATGTAATGAGGAAGTTTTAATGAAATTAGGAACTACAAAGAAACTTATGCTTACAATAAAAAAAAAAAGAGAGCTTAAATTTCTGGTAGATGTGACAAACCAGCTTGGAAAATCTAACACTCACAGGACATAGTGAAGGCAAGAGAAGCAAGTGGGTGTGGGGGCTTTTTGTGAATGGATAGAAGAACGTGGAGAAAGAGAAATGCTAATAGATCAGGAGTTACTTAGAGCAACAAAAGGCAGGAAGTTATGGAGAACCATGATCGTCCACGTCCTGAAAGGACATGACACATAAAAAAGAGAAGAATGAGTTCGATCCTCACAGGTGCCCAACCATTTTAAGAGGTGTTTTTTTTTTTTTTTTTATCGTTAGCGTATTTCTTGTTTTATTGTAGATTGTGGCGGGAAACCAGCCGATGTGTATTTCCTCTTGGACTCATCTACTAGCATCTGGTATGTTGACTATGAAAAACAACTCCAGTTTGTCTCCAGTGTAATCGACATCTTCGATGTTGGTCCAAATAGAACCCGAATTGGCATGGGCCTCTTTAGCGACTATTTTAATCCCCAGATCGGCTTCGGAGACTACAATAACAAAACAGAAATCAACCAGGTCATACTGGAAACAAAGCAGAAAATGGGCGGGACCAACACTGCCGTTGCCATTCGCGAAATGCGTGAGGGGGAATTTAACTCGAATGTCGCTCGCCAGGACGTTGCTCACATCGCAATAATCCTGACTGACGGAAAATCTTGGGACCCTAAAGAAACCGCTTTCCAAGCAAAACTTACCAAAGAAAAAGGAATATACATATTCGCCATTGGCATCGGAGGCGATGTTGATACACGTGAGCTTCGCAACATTGCCAGCAAATCTGAAAACGACAATGCTCAGTTTGTCTTTCATGTGAAGAATTTCGACGCTTTGGACTCCATAAAGAACATCCTGGCTATTAAAACATGCGAAGGTAAGCACTTAACACTCTTACCTTATTTAATAGCTTCTTTCTAATCTTTCAGGTAATCGTCATTTGTTTAGTTTACTGCCGTATTTCCCGCCATATAACAAATTTATCAAAAGATATTTATGTAAAAACGAAAACACCCATGTGTAACTGTATTTTTGTTTTTAATATTTTAACTTTATTTTAATTAATAATCACACTTTAATCATTTATAATCATATATATTTCACTTTCGAGTGATAAGGAAATTATTTTGTCAAATAAGTGTGTTTAGGTTTTACTCTACTACTGCAAGTATCTGACCCAAAGCCTAACTAAATCCAACTATCAGAGTAAAGGATTCTTTTGGAGAAAAAAGTGCGATATTATGTAACTCGCAGTTTGTGAAACTCTTGATATAAATCAATATATAGCAATACTTGTTAATCATAATGTCACTAGATATTTATGTAACCTATCATGTCAGGGGCAGGATTTATGAAGCATATACAAAAAAAAAATCCATTCACTCAGAGCATTACATATACAGATACGCAAATTATAGCAAGAATGAAAAAAGAAAAAAACAATCCTAGTCGTATTTATGCATTAACTACATTTGATTTATATAGACCTAGACAGCTTTTCTTATCTTTGACCACTGACTTTACATTTACTCCTTAGCACTAAGTTTATCTATTTTCATTTTTTCTATCAACATACTTAATATTTCTGTTAGTAGGGAAATATTTTGATAATTAAATACTAAATTTTTTAATTTATCTCTCAAAATTTGATCATAGAAAATTAATATGTATGTTGCGCATTTCAAATGAGTGTGAAAGGGATTGTCAGTGGTCAAGAATTATAGCAAACATTACGTACGAAATAGGTTTATTTTCTGCATCAGAGATGATCCTGAATGTAGCGTATCGGTTACGCGTTCGGAAAACTCTCGAGGTCGGGTTCCTTTTCTGACTGAGATTATCCCTAAGGGAAAGTCAGGAATCTGACTATCCAGCTCCAATTGCCAATTATCTTATGGTCTTGTCACTGACATGCCACAATGACTGGTGGAAAAATGAATATATAGACTATAAACTCTTTCAAAGTTACTTTATTTGTTGAAAGAAATAACGACAGACTGAGAACCATATCAATTTTTGGCTCTGACATAAAGAGACCAATGGGTTGTAACTAGTGAATTGTATTCCAAGTTTTCTGAATCATTCAAGTTCTGTTTGCTTTCTGAAGATAAGAAGGACTGGGAATGAAAATTGTGAAACAGTGAATACAACATTTATTCTTGAGAGAGAGAGAGAGTGACCTTTTATTTAAAAACACGAAACAATTCTAGAGTAAACAGTAGCAAAATGCGTGAATTACAAACTCAGCCACGAGTGTATGTGGCCCTGTCCCTACTTGACATCATTAGGTTACAGACCTATTGTTGTACCTATATATGAATTTAAATTGAGATTAAAGTTATTTTTACGTGATTTTATTTTACATTCTTAAACAAATGATATCAAAACTACTTTAAAAGACATAAAATATTTTTAAATCTTTGATATTTTCAACGGTTTCCTTTATTGAAAATATTTTTTTACTTTTCTGTTTTTGCAGTTGTTCCGAAAGACCAGCCCAGTGAGTATATCTGTTTATTCATTTATTTTCTCTTAAAAGAAATTTTGCTGGTGGTGATGGCATTTATTTTGTAACTTATTCTGCGCGATTTCGATGGGTTCCATTCTTTAGTTTCACCAGTTCAGATCTTTATGCTAGGACAAGCCACGAAGTCGAATCATCCTCATTTACTCGGTGTAACCAAACATAAGACAGCTTTCTCCCAACTGCCGCTTTGGGGACAGACTCCTGTGGGGTTGCTTCCCTAGATATTTCTTGATCTTTTCAACTATCAATCGTTATCTATCCTTTTCATCATAACAATCATTTCTAAGCATCTTCTCTTCCATTCATATCACATAACCGTTTTGTTGACTATCGTTTTACTGTGATTGGCTCTCGGGCTTTGTATTGGGTGAACTTAAGTATACAAGAATTCGTTTCATACGATATTAAAACTCCCTTATTTGCTTTCTATAGTTACAGTTACTCGGTCAATGCCAGAAATGCCAAAGTTTTATTTAATAATGTTCAAAAAGCGCAAAGAACAGCGATGCTGGTAAATTGGAATATTCCAAAGCCGTAATGTTCTTACTTTAAGTGAATTTCTAAACTTAATAAAGAAAGAAAACAAAAACATCGTATAGGTTTCTAAGATATATATGTTAAGAAATAACGTTCTTTGAGTTTTGTTAAATTTTATTGTTATAATTTCTCATTTTATTATTATTTATTATTGTTAATTTCTTATTGTCTCTAATTTAAATTAAACTTTATCACAAGTATGTATTTATAGGAAAATAAATTACTTCGATACTATCCACAGTTACAGGCATCCGCTGTGGACTTGAAGCATATACTACGGTTACGGGAAGAACTACTGTAAAATAATTCAAAGAGAAACCCTAATCCTTTGTGATAAAAGAATTTCTGGCACATTTCTTATAGACTATTTTCGTGGTATACTTACAAATGATTAACCTCGGTATTTACCAGATGCCCCCACTGAGTTAGGCTGTGAGGCAAGGTCGGTTATTTAACGTGGAGAACCCGAACGCGAACACTCGGACCACTGGACAAAATTTGCCATTTAACCTCCTCTACGGAACAAATTTGATCACAGTCTCTGGACCACGGAACGCAAGTATATATTCGCCTCGACAAATGATTAGCTGAACCTCATGACTTAGATATTAAAGAAGGCAGTTCCAACTGTATCTTTCCCACTACATTTTTCTTGTTCATTGGATGTCGTGAGTTCAATACTCAGCAGAGCAAAAGTAAACAAGCTCAGTGAAGAAATACATCAATACTATAAGGAGGTTAAGTGGCAATTATGAGTTCAGAAATCCTGAGGGAGGACATCGGGTGGGATAATATACAAATAATAACAATTTACCTATCAGTATGGATAAAAGGATTCAGTTGAATATTCTCTAAAATATGATGAATAAGTGGCACATGAGAAAAGTTGAAAGCTTAAAACTGCTAAAATCTTATGACTAGAACAACAAAAATGAGGATGTCGGTAAGAAAAATTCATGGAAGAGGAATTTTTTTTCAATTAATTTTTATCAATTTTCCTTGTTCTTTTCTCACTAAAAATTAGTCTAAGGTAGCAGTATCCAAATATTTTAATGCAAGGACCACATCGTTTACTTATACATTTATTAATTTATACAGCATTTAACACGTTCAGTTTTACAAATGAATGTGTTATTTGGGTTGTTTTTTATAATCAGCATAATCTGACCCAAAACAAAAGAGAAATGTAAGAATTACACAGAAACAAAATATAACTGACCAAACCTAGGTTAGAGACCTTTGGTTTAAGGGGTCTGCGGGTGACTAAGTAGGCACAGGATTACAACCGGCGACAGTGGGTTTCGAACCCAGGTAAGAAATTTCGCAATGCTGATTTTTTAAACAAGTCGCCGTTTGCCACTTTCTAACTTGGTACAACAGGCTCTCTTATAGGTAGCCGTACTTTCTTTATACAGTATAAACAATTCTTATCAGAGAAAATGTTTTTACCATCAGCATTTTTGCAAATATGCGTAAAGTGATCACTTTTATATCATGTTAATCCTGTAGATTGACCTGTGGAGTTACATGAGGCAAGAGCCTCACCACACCAGACGTTGCGGCTGTGATTTCCGTAGCAAGTACGTTTGCTAACCCCACGCCCAACCAGTTCAGATTCAGAATTCTTTTCTCCTAGACTGTTTGCCAATCAAATCTAGAATGCCCAGTCTGCTCCGCTATTAATCCCATTAAGAGATCCATACCTTTTTCGCGCTGATAACCGCTACACTACATGCACATACACTTCCATATTATGAGTATCCATTAAATGCTAACCATCACTATTTTATGAGATATTTCTCCCAGACACATGTTATCTGTTTTTTTTTTATTTGAAAGAGTTTCACAAAACACCTTTCATACCAAAAACTTCACTTATTTCGGTTGTTTTAAATCATATTGTTTCAAAGTCTTTATATTATTCAATCCTTTAAATTAATTAACTTTCATTACGTTACTTCAGCTCAAAGAAATAATTTAGTGACAAGATTTGAACAAGCATGCTATATCACGGTTGTTTACTATTTCATGTAGTAAAATCTCTTTTGCATTTTCAATTTCATTCTATGATTTAATGCCAACAGTCGTTAAAGGTGTTACTACACGAGAATGTGGGTTTCAATATGGAATCTTGTTCAAAAGCATAATATTTTGCTCTGAATTCACACAAATTTAAGAGATCGATGAGTGTATCGGCTATAAAATATTATTCTCTGAAACAACTTGGATTTCAGACCCAAATTCGTGAAAAAGGTTGAATAAAGGATAATTGTAGTGTATCCTTTAGAGATTTCTTTTTAAAGCTTTTTTTTTTAAAAAAATACAACTTTGTGCAAATTATCTAAGTCTTTTACTTTGAGGCCGGAACAAACTCCTTTTGGATCCCTGAATATTCAAAACTGTCAACTGTTCTTTCGAAAACTGAACACAGAGGCGCGGGAAAACTAATTTGGCGCAAAATATGAAACCAAAATTAAAATTCGTTTTACAATTACACCAATGTCTTAATATTAACAGAGGCGCATCACCGTGGAATAGTCGTGCATCAGCTTTTCTTGTAGCTAATTACACTATGTGTTCAATCCTTGCTGAGCGCTCCTTACCTGTGACCCTGTGTCAGATTAAATTTAACAATTACTGCTTGTTGGGACAGATAGTTCAACATATTTGCTACTGATACGAGTTTTCAGTATTTGTGCCAGATAAAAACCAGGATTGCAAATGCTGATTTTCAAAGCAGACTCTCTCTAAATGAAAGATTAGCGTATTTCCTTCTACCTCTATTTTGGCCTTGTGTCGTTCTAAGCCTAGTAAATATCAACAATTCTTACACAGAAAATCTGTGTACATTCATGCACAAGTCGATTTGTAATGTTTTTTTCCAAAAATAAAGAATATTAGATTCATTAAGATGAAATATATATAGCCAATGGAAACAGCGCGAAGCTACTGTTAGTTTCGGACATGAAAAATACTCACTATTTATGAATATGCTGTTGAAGTGTAACAGAAATCTATCTCATTTGAATTGAATACATACTTAAATAGAAATAATGTATTTTGCTAAATTGCTATAAAAACAAACAACAAACATTTAGTTTTAAGGCTCTCCCAGCACTCAATGTTTAGGGCAAATCTTTAATTAGTTTTCTTAAAATGTGTTTTATACATAATGAAATATGACGCTTATTTATTGCTTAGTGACTCTGAGAAAATAAAAGCCGATTTATATAGCAGACATTTCACAAATTAAAAACTTAAAATCAAATATATATTTTTAATTAAAACTATTAATACCACTAAACTGTAATTAAAATTTAAATAACCTCAATAAAAAGTTTGGACTTGTATTGTAACTGGATTCTTCATTTGCTCAGCGATCTATCAGTTAATAATAGATTCATTGATTCTGTATTCTTGATGGCAGATAAGTAGATGTTGTGCTGATGCTAGTCAATTCGTTTAACAAAATGGTATTCTATCCAAACAAATAAAATTTCTGGTATTGAAGCAAAATGGCTCAAAGATGGCAGCCTTTCTCCGCTTCAAATATTTTTATGCAGGCTGTATATAGTTTTCTTAGTATAAAATTGTTCAAACAGGACACGATAAACTTTAGACGGCATATTTATATTGTCTCTTATGCTTCATACATTCTGATTGGAAAATCGGAAGTCAAGAAAAGTTTTCTAAATATATATCCGATGTTTATGCATTATATGTTAACTTGGTGTTTGCATCCTGTTTTCTTGATATTAAATGTGGGAAATCTAAGATGACAGAAATGATTTATATTCGTGTTTAGGTACAGCTGCTCAGTAGGCAAAATTATAGATATTGTATTTGTTGACCTGAAAGACGCATGTTTCACATGAAAACGTCTTATTCCTGTTTACCAAACTCATTTCGATCGCTTTCTGAAATCGACTTCCCGATCATAATCCGAGTATAAAAGATGCAATATAATGTTTGGATATTTTTAGTAGATATAAAAAAAAAAATGCGTTCTTATAGACTGTCAAACAGGAATTTGTAGGCGAGACGATTAGCAGTGTTGATTTCAGAAACATGCAATATTAATTTCTGATTTTAAGAGCTGGCAGATTTGTCATTTCTCAGAGATTGGCGCAACGCGTTTGTCACATACCTTTGTCATCATTGTATAAACCGCAGCTTCTAAGTAAATACACGGCTGAGAACGAATGCCTCACTGTGGAGTAAGGGTTAGCAAGCAGTTCTTGCAACCCCTTACTCCAGTCACATGCTCGAATCTCAAAGTGGTTATCACATCTGTAGTCTTATGATACACTAAATTTAAGTTAGTAAATACTTAAAATATGGCTCAAGTTGCTTGAATTTAACGAAAACAGAATTTGAGTCTTTTTTAAATTGAAAGCTTGCTTGATGAAATGGAAAGCTGTAGAAACCTTCTTTCTTATGAAAACTTCTTACATCGACGTCCACTTACAAAGATTCTATCAAATAGGAAGGGCTAAAGCAATAGTCTTCTACAAATTCTGCTTCATAACCAAATTCTATGACAATACAGCTACCAATTTAGTACGTTTATATACATATTGATTTCAGATCGCACTTCATACGTATTAAGAATTAAAATACTTAATTTATACTGTAATGATCTGAGTTCTGTGTATTAGATTATGCGTTTGTTAATGTAAAACAAGAAACGGCACATCGTAGCGCAATTTTTGTTACGAAATACGTTTTCCTTAAAGAAAAATAAATAATTTACAGTTCAATCGGGCCACCAGTTTCTGAATAATTTCTAATGAGTTAAGTATAAATTGGCAAAAATATTCTTTCCAAGGAAAATAACCCCAGGTTTATTAACCGCTGATTATATAACTATTCTCCTGTTATTTCTTCGGAAAATAAGAATAAGTAGATAAGAATTTCTGTCTTGTCTACATTCTACTCCATCATCCACGGTCGTTTAATTCTAATCATATTCTAATAATAATTAATAATAATAACTAAATTTAGTGGTAATTATCTATATTTTAATAATAATTATTAATAATAATAATTAAACTTAGTTGTAATTAACATTTGTAAATAATAATAAATTCAACAAATAGTGACTTGACATCGAGCGGAAATCATGAAAAGTGGGGTTTAAGCGAGAATAACTGAAGGAAAATATCGTAGTAAAGAATTACCTCTCTTGTTCAATACTGATTGAATGATGCTTGTCAAGAACATACAGTTTGAAAACCAGTGAATGCTTTAATAATTAAATGTACATTAAGAATTACTTAATAATAGAGAATTTTCTTTTCTTTTCTTTTTTTAATAGGGTGTGCTACCAGCACTAAATCAGATATTATCTTTGCACTGGATCCTTTGGTAATGGGTCAATCACGTACGGAAATCATCAAGGAATTCATCGCCAACACTGCTAACCAGATAGATATGGGAGACAGTAAACCAATTAGAATCGGTGTCTTCACCAACAATTGTCCCAGCAGCAAAGACATCCACCTGAATGAACACGGCAACAAATTCACTTTCATCCAGGAACTCCGGTCGAATAATAAGATGACTAAAACTCATATTTTGAAAAGAGTTCGCCGACGAGGATTCACCAAGGCCAACGGAGGACGTGCCGACGCTCGTCGTCTTATCGTTACCTTTGTCGATGGCCCATTAGATAATTCAAAAGATGTCTTTTTGGAGGCCGAAAGAGTTCGAAAATTCAACATGGACGTGTTTGTCATTGCCATTGGAAACGAAGTCAAAGAAAACGAGTTGCGGAAACTGGCTTCAGTGAGACCGAAAGAACACATTTTCCGAGTCACCAGCTACGACAACCTGAAGATTTCTTTCAACGATTTTATCGACAAAATCTGTGAATGTAAGCATTCATTTTCTTTCAAGCATTATATCTTTCTTTTCAACTATGATAATAGTTTGTATGTGTTAAACTGGTCCCTCATATCATGTACTTGCCATGAATTGTATTATTTTCGTTATTAGCTCTTGTTATGTATACAAGTGACTTGTTATCTTCTTCACTGTATCTCACATTATATCATATATTAAAATTAAACAATTTAAATCATGATCAAACAAGGGTGTCTATAAGTGCATATTTCTCATAAAATCTCAAGAATTATTAGGAAATTAGCTACATAATGAGATCATTTGACTAATATTATATTGATATATAATTTCTATTTTACATAACTATTTAATTAATGTCTTTATTCGTTGGTTTTATGGTTTCATGACCTTAAATAATCGTCAGTATGCCAAATTTGTATTTCGTGGTATCTGTAACAAAAGGAGAGTTACATGACAGTACCCATTTCCTCTTTAATATAAAACATGTTATACTGGGTGATATCGTACCAGTTGTTGGTTAGTCCTATTATTTAGAAAACTGTACCATGTTGACATGTCTTACATAGCACCATAAGGCAGTTGTTTATCCTAAGTGATAACAAGCATCACTAAGACAATACTGAGCTATAGTATTTTTGGTAAGAAATAAAAACTTCCAAATCATGATTACTATTTACACGCCTTAAAAATTCTTTTGTATATAGTCTATAGTTTGAAAAGTCACACGTCTTAAGCATCATGAATAATTAATACACACCCACAATAGACGTCTATTTTGAATAAGGTGTATCCTATTTATCCACAAATGAAAGGAATATATTTGCATAGCATATGGATCATATAAAGCTCAAACTAGTATCCTTCAATTTAATTGTTCACTATGAAGAAAGAGTTAAGACGTTGGCACGGACTGAATCCTGCAGAACAAGGTCTTCAAAACTACGGCCCGCGGGACACATCCGGCTCGTTACAAGATTTTATCCGGCTGTTTAATTTGAATTTATTCATAAATACTTTCTTATATGCAGTTAAGTAACACGACACTGTTCTTTGGAATTGTTTCAATTCTCTCTTTTTCTGAATGTTTTACTGATTATAAATGATCCGGAACTTATACATTTATTAGTGCAAAAGTTCCCAGATATATCTTTTATGAAAATCAAAGACTTAATGCACAATAGAAAACCTTTTCTGACACACAGAGAAACCAAGGAAACTCTTGCACACGCGTAACATAAAATTTGAAATGTGCGCGTAGCGTAGTGATTATCGGCGCAGAAAGTGGGATTGGGGTGTTGCGTTTGCTTTTTTTTTTTTTTTTTTGCACAAATATCCGTTCATCCTATTCAGCTGGTTTTTAATTGCAGGGCAGAATGGGCTCCCTAAAGTTGGTTGGCAACCATTCTGACCAGATTAACTTGTCACACAGCGATATGTCATTCACATGAACCTACTATATTTCTGAAATAATAATTAGTATCATACACAAGACAATAATTACACCTATATATAAATAGGTATTTTAAAATAGGTTTTTAAATTCTCCCCGACTTGACTCTCGAGTTTCAACATCATAAACTTGGAGCTTCTTTCAACAATTCGCTCGATATTCTATGGATGCAAACTTCAAACGTTTAAGTACAAAGGCGACATTGTATATTTTATGCATTTTCGCAGACCAGAGGAGGAAAATGTGTTTTATATTAGGCGAGTGTAAAATGTGCAAAAGTTTCCAATGTTTTTGTTTTCTTAACGATTTTCTATTGTACATTCGATCTCTTGTCTTCAAAAAAAGACAAGGGAACATTTGCACACAATAAATAAACTAATGGATAAGTTTTGCTTGATATTTTGTTATACTCAGTATAATATAATTCAGAAAAAATAAAGAAAATATGATGATTACAAAAAATCATTCTAGGCAATTATTATTACTACTTTAGTGAGGCTGAATCTCGTAGGCTTTGTCACACTTGTAGCCTTATTTCAGATTTCAACCTTAGAGAATACCTCTGTCCTTCGCTGGAGAGCAATTCTTAGCAAGCTACTCTCCTATACAATTATTACTATAATGACTTTGATCCTCATTGGGTGTCCAATATTTATGGCCTTGTGTCGTGCTAAGCTAATCTTAATAAGTATATGGATGTCTCACCATGAAGCAATAGTTAGCAAGCTAGTCACATAAACTATTACTACTGTAGTCAATTGGATCTTTAATAATAAGAAATGAGGTGAAGATATTTGTATCGTAAAATGAAACTAATTCAAAAAGACAGTTTTGTATTAGCGCAATAAAAGTTGTTATTAAACAATTCATTTACGAAACTATAAACTACAACTGATCATTAAAATTATTTAAAAATGAACAAGGTACAAAATTTTAAAAACTTTCACTAGTTGTCATATCATCAAACTAAATATACAGGTCGTCTTTATTTGTACAAAAAGATGCTTTCATCTACCGAAAGACAAGTTATGTCCGTAGCAATAAATTGACGATTTGTTAAGATAATTGTTTTAAGTTGACCGCTGAAAATATCAAACTTTATTTAAAATATTATATTATTTTTCTGTTCATTTTTCAGTTTTGTGAACACTCCATTGGACGATGAACGCTTAGTAATGAATCATCACAACTTCAGCCAATGATTACAATTTGTACTATGATGTCAGCACTGCCTTAACCAATATCGGCACGATCATTGGTTGAAAATTCACTAATCCTGATGTCAAAATCGAGGCAACCATTCCGTTGGATCTTTGACAGCCAGGAGCAACGTTGCAAGCAAATCTTTTTTTTTTGTATGGGACTCATTGAAGAGTTTCGGCTTATATGAAGAGAAACTCTTGATTTAGTTACTAGTCAAAACTTTTTTTGGATGCATGACAATCCGATACACGTTTTCTTCAAGATATTTTTAAATGCAAGACTCAAAAACGTTGAAATTGTATAATTCATGCCCCTCGTAAAGTTGCTTGTAGCACCAGTAGACTATACAAATGATATTCGTAGAGTTGAATATGAACAAACGTTTTCATAGAATTTAACTAGATGGTGAGTCTCAGATATTTATAGTAAGTAAACGCTGCGTTTTTGAATATGATAGAAAAATGCTTTAAGGAGATATCAGTCGTCACGAAAGAAATTAGAAGAGATATTTTACCAATGGATATCTTTCATGGTATATCTTTTCCTTTATCAAACCTTTTGAATGTTCAATTCTTAATGTCAAACTATGAATTTTTTTTTCTTATTTCTTGTATTCAACACATCTGAATTACAATAATAATTTAAATTAGGAGACCTCTTTCAAAATGACAGTTGTCTCGCGAAATCGTTTACTTCAAATGTAATCTAGTTTAACTACTTACGCTAATCCAAAAGACTTCTAACGTCGAGAAGAAAACCGAGTGATATAATCGAACCGTCAGAACAGAACAATCATAGTCTGTGAGGAAAAATACCGATAGAAACGAGAGAGTGTGTATGTATGTGTGCAAGTTTGTATATGAAAAAATGATGAGAGAAAGTAAAAGAAAGTGATATCAAATCTATAATCGACGTTTATGAACGTCAACCAGCATTTGAACACCCAAAAATCACCCCAGTCACATTGTAAATATATAGAGCATATTTAGATGGCAATAGTCATTTGAAAATACCGTATTTACCTGTATACAAGTCGACTTTTATTAAGATAAACCTTTCCAGTACAAATCATGGCAAGAGTTTGAGCTGTATTTTGCCGATTTCTACCACTTAATATACCCAATGCAGTAACCCAAAATTGATGATTTTCAATATAAATCTTAATGATTTAACGTATAATTTTAATTCTTTTTTAACGAAAAAATATGCATTGTTTGGGTCGCGAGCAAAGTTTTTTTCTCGCTTTATCCTGTCTCACATTGTGAGAGATCAGGATGTTTTCCAAAAGACAAAATTTTTAAAATCTAATTTTTGTCGCACAAAATACGACGTTTTATTAAAATAATTCTAATCGCGAATCGACTAAGGGAAAAAGGAGTAATGTCTTCTTATGCACAAATCATTATAATTCGATAAAAATTTTAAATTGACTTTTACATGGGTATATACGGTAATTCACTGTGTAAATATCGATTCAATCTATGAATATATCGATCGCGGATTTTAGTTCCGGAACGCACAAATGCACTTCCATACATTTTAAAATGGACACAGAAAAAAATACCATACTATTGAAATATGGACGAAACGAATAAATTCGAGAAATGTGTTTCTGATTCAGTCGAAAATATGAATATTTTTTCAACCTAGTCTAAAAACTTATCTTTTTTTTTAAATAACGACAATTCGTTAAAAATAACGTAGCACTGTATTTAAACTTTCTTTTCTAATCATCCAAATCAAAAGAACGTATTTTATTATATTTTCCTTAAATTTACTATGCTTGAAAATTAATTGTTTTCGAAAAAATACATTTTAGACTTTACAATTAAATGCAATCATGTCATATTAAAATTTTAAACTTAATTTTAAAAAGAACTACGAAGCGATTGATTTAACAAATCTGGGAAATTTAATTAAATGTTTCTAAAAAAAAAAAACATCAATTAACCTCTTCGCTACCACCGACAATATAACTCTTCTCACGATTGTGCTATTCTTACAACATTAAAAATATACTTGGTAGCGAACAAGTTAAAATGATTCAACTGAATAAATAAATTTAAAATAACTTTACGTCTTTTTATATTAAATTCTACAATTCCATTAAAGAAAATAATAAAGCGAATGATTCAATAAGTTAAGCAAAAATTTAATCTATTTCTTCAAATACATTAAAATGAGGGAACTGAAAATTGTATCTTAACATTAGCTCTGTCTTCGAGGTTCAAAGTTAACGTTAAGAATAATATTAATGTTAGTCTTCAAGAATCATATGAAGTGCCAAAATACACATATTGCTATTATTTTTTTATTCAGATTTATAAAATTTAAAACCTGTGTCATTCGAATAAAATGTTAAATATATTTCAATCAAAATTATAATGAAGTAAATACACAAACATTTTTAAAAAGTGCCTTTTTTCCAGCCATTTTTCCAGTATGGAAAGAAATCGTACATGCATAGGTTCGTAAATTTACTCAGTATTTAAAAACGTATAAGTGAATACAAACATTTTTATCTTTTATTCTCTATATATTTATAGACATATACTTATATGTGAAATGAATGCAAATGTGCTGAAAGCGTAATTATGTACAACAATACTTAGCGTACACGAAGGAGTGAGGAAAGGGTTTCACATCAAGATCAGTACAGTTCTACATCGTAGGTGATGGCCAATTTTGGGAAAAAACGTTTAAGATTTCGTATGGTTTGACTCAAAAACATCTAGATATAGTACAGAAATTAACGATGAGAAAGCAAAGTTGATGAGAAATAGTGAGGAACTTATGAGGACACCAGTTACAGTCAGTGGTCAGCAGATGGAGACAGGGAAACAATTCAAATTCCTTGATTCAGTCACCAACCAAGATCGTCAAATGAACCGGCAAAAGGTTTATCCAGACACAGGCGCTAGCCAACGACCGGATCAAGTGGAAGCTTTTTCTTGAGCAAGCCACTATTCAGCGCCCCTACGATCTTGGCGGCTTATGGGACAAGAGGAAGGGGAGGATGGTTTGACTCAGACAATATTGATCTTCTCGCGCACTCCATCGGTAGAATTTACTGAACGGGTTTTGAATTTCTGGTTCTTGTAAAATCTACTGTTAGTAAATGTAAATAACTGGTATCCTGTATTAAATTCTCTTATATATAACTATAGTTGTAGTAAAAGCAAAAAGTGATTTAAAGAAGACTGATGAAATTGTTAATTTATTCACGAGACAGTTCCATCGTAAATTCTGATGGCTAAAGTGAACAAAGATCCAAGTATGAATAAATGTTAAATTTACCAATATTTATGCTTTAGACAAGTCTGCTGTGATAATCGATTACCGAAGTCAGTAATTTTGATTTTATATAAAATCTATGATGTCATCCAGGCATCATTGTGCCGAACAGATTATTTTGAAAATTATATGCGAATACGGTTGTGTTTGTTTTAAGTCAAAAACTATACGAATATTTAAATAGATATTTTAAATATTTAAACAAAAAAAAAAACATTTTTTGCCGTCTTAATCATCACCTCACAAATATTTTACGCGAATAACATTCCCAAAAAACTGCTTCCATTTTTATGTTTTGCACTTTTCCTAAAGTGAGAACCATTTTTCCTGACTTCTATACTAATGTTCCCAAGAAACATGTGGTCCAAAAAGTCAAATAAAACCACCAAATATTCGTTACGCCTCTTCACATTGCATTCATTACAAAACTGTTTTTTCTATTTATTGTACTTAACAATAATGGATATTTAATTATATGAATTTATTTATGGATGAAAGAGTTATTTAAATGTCTTTAAAAATAAAATATTTTTATTATAAACACTTCATCGTTTTATTTTTATTTTTAATACTTACTATTTGCTTTTGAGTTTGTTCTTGTCTGGCTGCCATCATTCCTAACTATCAGGACATGGGCGATCATGAATCTCCACAGCTTCCTAATTTTCGTATACATATTTTGTATTTATGGAGGTGGTGAGATAGTAAACAGACAAACCTTGATATGTTTGTCTTTATATTATCCCTCCATCTACTTGTTTTGTCATCCAAATTAGTCAGGTAGCTGCTTTCCTCTGTCCCTCTTGCCATATCTATGTCCTATGTGTATCAAATTCTACATGTCTTCTTTTTTTCATTATGAGTCCCAAAAGCTGTTTCTTTTTTATGTTATGTACAATATCCTTTTTTTCCAATTCTCGTTGCTTACATGCAGCCATGTTATTCTCAGCATCCTTCTGTAAAACCACAGTCTTCTCGTCATTCACGGTCATATCGGAAGGACAAATAATTATTAGGACTTCAGCATTGAAGTAGAGAGTCCCGACGTGGGGTAATGGTTAGCAAACTAATCTCGCAAATCAGTACTGTTGAGTCGTAAGGTCGATCTTCATTGAAAACCCTATACTTAAATATCAATTACACCAAAAGTTAAATATACTGAAGCAGAGATTCACAAACGAGGAGCACTTGGCAACCAGGGAAGGAATTTCAAATTTCACGAGTGGAATTGAGAGATTCACAAAAATCAGGAGCAATTTTTGGGAAACTTAACTGCAGGGAAGGAATTTCAAATTTAACAAGGGGAAAAATCTATGTTTTAATTTATGACTCGGATTTGCTTTTGGGTGGAATTGAGGAGAAATGGGATATGGAATACAAGTTTTATGACCCATTGAAATAAAGTTTTCTTTTTTCATTTGCCTGTAAAATCATAAATATAAGGTCTTTCAAGAATTTAAAAAAAATGACGGGTTGATGACAATTTAAAATGGGTTTGAATCACAAAGGAAAACTTAAACATTTGATAATTTGACGATTGCAAATTAAATCTTTAAGGGCTTATTTTGCATTCTTATTTGTTCAAGAATGTTGTTATTCAAAAGTTACAGAAATTTTTCGTGTCTTCGACCGTTTTATAAACCAATTGA